GCCTGGTGCAGTTTCTGTGCAGAGCAAGCTGTCTCCCTCTATCTGCTGGCCGCAGGGAAAGCTCTGGTCCCAGGCAGAAGCAGCCCACATCACACGCCTTGCACAGTACTTCGACGTGTGGGCTTTTGGTCTTGGAAGCCCGTGGTTCTAATCGTTATTCCTTTCATCCCTGGGGCCTTGGGGCCCAGCTCTCCGGAGCGGGGGTGTGTGGACTGTTTTCCTGGCTGGCCTCCTGGCCTCGGAGGAATGACCCCCTGAGTCTGCCGGGTGTCTGGCCCATGTCTGTCCTCCCCCGCCTCCTCCCCTGCCCACTTGAACCATCGTCATCCTGTCTGTGGTTTGCAGCCCTCAGCAGTATGGCCGCGAGGTGATGGATGGGCAGTGAGCGCCTCCTCCCTCGGGCTCTGCTCCCAGCTTCTCCTGGTGCTGCTCAGCTCGGCTGGGGAACCACCCCTGCTTGCTTGTTCTAGACACAGGTGGCCCTTTATTCAAACCCAGACACCCTTTCTACCTGGTGAGTTTCTTAACCTCTCAGCCTCAGTTCCTCCGTCTATGTCATGGGAACAGTCTGCCTCCTTGAAGGGCTATTGTGAGTCAAATCTCCAGCGTGACTGGTGCACAGTAAGCACGCAGTAATTGCCAGCATCCTCGCATTGCCCCCCCCCCCCCGCCCCCCGCTGGAGAAGCTCTGGAGTGGGAGCCAGGGGACTGGGAGGCATGTCTGGGACGGCCTGGCGTGTCTCCTCCATACAGAGCTGTGGGTGGGTCAGCACAAAGCAGAGGATGGCAGAGACCATCTGTGCTAACCCTCCTCCCCTGATGCTCAGACACACGCTCCCTTTTTGCAGCTTGGTAAACTGAGGGCAGGTTGAAGTGTTTTTCTTCCTGGGAAACTGCAGTGAGTTCCTGGCATGTGTCCCAGGGAGCAGCAGCTCTGATCAGCCAAGACTCAGCCTCTGTTGCGGCTTCTGATGAAAAAGAACCCATCCTGGGGAAAGGGAGATCGCATGCCCAGGAAGTCTAGAATGTTCTACCTTCCTAAAGGCTGAGGGAATACGGACATCAATGGGTGAACTCCGGGGGAAGCAGGGGCTTTGTCATCGGCCGTATCTTTTTTGTGCTTTCACCCTTTCAGAAAGGAAAAGCAACCAGCTCACCGGGAACTAATTAAATACGCATTTTGACTGCTGAGAACTCATCTCCTCCTTAATTCCAGAGCGGCTACTTATGTTCATCTGAATGATAACCTGAAAAGTCCGTGTTGATTGGATATGTGATGGTAATCCAGTCTCTCAGTAGCTCCTTTGCCTTTTCTCAAGCTTTTCGCTTGGACTTGGGGGCAGTGGAGTTCCTCTTTCTTCAGTTCTACTAGACAGTCCTGCAGACGTTCTGTCCTGCGTTTGAAGGAGGAGGACACGAACGTGCCCCTACCAGCCCCTTCGGCCTACCTGTCCCCGTCCGTCAGGGGAAGCGGAGGCTTTCTCAGACCCCAGCCCGCCCCCAGCCACCGCGCGCTTCTGATGTTTATGCCTTTGACCAGAACTGGGTCACAGGTGCATCTCTAGTTGGAGGGGGCGGCTGGAAGGTGGGGACCATAGGAGGCATAATTGGTTTGGACGTACCACTCACCGCTTTTCTCCCTGGGCTGACAATGCTGCTCATCTGAATAAAAGTGACATTGTTTTCGCCAGGAGGAAGTGAGGGATGGCTATTAGGGTGGCAGCTAACAGTGCCTGACCCACTTTGTTGGCTGGGGTCCTGGACTCTGGACTGTCTCACCTGGATGTCTGCACAATGAAGCCCTTTCCTGGGAGGCATCTGGTCTACCACTCAGCATTTACCTCTTGGCTCAGGCATCCACTGGTCCTTCCATTCAGCATGGGCTTACCTCCGGTTCTGAGCCTGGAACTGGGAAGGCAGTGGAGACAGAGCTGGACTGAGACTCAGCCGGGCCTCTAGACTTAGTGGAGAGGCAGCCACGCTGGTCAGTGCCTTCAGCACGGTGCCACCAGCCCTAGGACACAGGACCCTGCTGAGGGGTCCTCACCCAGTCTGAGGTGAGTGGGAGCAAGGCCCAGGGGGCTGCTGACCAGAGTCTGGAGGGTCAAGGAGGAGGATGCTGTGAGGCAAGGTGACCCAGGGTGTCAGGGCAGCCCTGGCACTGCCTGGAGCTGACACATGCCAGGCTGGCCACAGTCAGCCCACGAGTGCCCTGAAGGCAGGGATGCCATCGTACAACTGTTGTCTCATTTGTGGGTCCTTAAAACTAGCTCAGGACCTGGATTCTGTCTGGACCTCTGTAAGTATTTCAGTTCCAATAAGCAAGTTCATGTGGAAATAAATAGATCATTATCCAAGAGGTGGACATGTCTTGGCCAAAGGTATGTAGTTGTGGGCTGAGAGTGACTTTGGGTGCTCATGCCCACTCCCTGCAAAGAGGTGATCCTCCAGGGCCCCCTCTTCCCTGGGGAGCCTGGATGCAGGGTGTATTTTGGGAGCCATTTGTCCTGATTTATTAAGTCAGTTATAAATTCCCTCTTGAGGCTTTGGCGTGTATGGGGCTTAGTGATGGCTCCCATGAGGGGACTGGCAGGTGGTGTGGGGACTGATGTCTTAAAGTGGTTTGGGCACATGCTGACATCTCTGAAATGTTTCCATCTTCTCTGTGTTCGTGGCCTCTGAACTGTCTTTGACCATCCAGTTTCGGGAATCAGGGCCTCCCCCTGGGATATTTGCAGAGACAGAGGCTCAGTGGCTTTGCCTGCCCTGAGCTCCAGCCGTCAGACTCCAGGGGTTTGCTCATAATCAAGGCTAGAAAGTTCTGAGTCAACTCATTTTAAATGATGCACAGTCCCAGCCCATCCCTCTGGCAGCCTGCCAACCTTGAAGCAGTTGGTCGTCACCCGCAGCTGCCGCTGTCCTGGGTGGCGCAGTCTGTATTCTGCACAGCGCCAGCATCCACTTGCATATATGTGGTTCTGGACACAGACAGCTCTGTGCTCTTTCCAAAATAACGCCTGCCTTGGGGCCTGTCAGACCTCTGGTGCCTTCCGGGGTAAATGTTAAAAATACCTCCTCCCAAATCAGGGAGAATCCCATTCTTGCTCCTCACTGCTGATTGGTAAAGGAACCACAGTGAAACACTTGGACTGAAAAGAAATCATCGTACCTGAAATCTGTGGGATGACAGAACTGCCTGATCAAGTGAGATTTTTACAATAATGTATGTTACCAGATTGCTTCCAGGGCAGGGTGGCGTCTATGCTGAGTTGCCTCTGATGATAAATTTAAGTCCTGTTATGGCTTGATCTTGCCCGTCCTCCAAGCTACCTTATGACAAGTGTGTTCTTTGAAAGGTGTCCCATATCACAGACGCTCACACTGAGAAAGAGATTAGGGGACTTGCAGGGAAGCCAACACTAGGGCCCTAGACTTTAACATTCACAGTGGGTTCTCTGTCTAGGATTTTTAAAAATTGAAGCATAACTGATTTACAAGGTGTTAGCGTCAGGTGTGCAGAAAAGTGATTCAGTCATGCACATGTATGTATATATGTATGTTATGCACATTCAGTCATGCATGTGTATGTATATGTATGTTATGCACATCCAGTCATGCACATGTATGTATATGTCTATGTTATGCACATTCAGTCATGCACGTGTATGTTATGTGCATTCAGTCATGCACATGTATGTATATATGTATTTTATGCGCATTCAGTCATGCAAATATGTGCATATATGTATGTTATGCACATTCAGTTATGCACATGTATATATATGTGTATATTATGCCATTCAGTCATGCACATGTATATATATATATATATATATATATACATGTATTCTTTTTCGGTTTCTTTAATATTCTATTGTAGGTTATTACAAGATACTGACTGTAGTTCCCTGTGTTATATGTACAGTATGTCCTAGTTGTTTATCCAGTACATATATGTGTGTGTATATACATATATATATAGTAGTTTGTATCTGCCAACCCGAAACTCCTAGTTTATCCCTCCCTACCCTTTCCCCGGGAAGAGAAGGGGACGACAGAATGAGATGGTTGGGTGGCATCACCGATTTGATGGACGTGAGTTTGAGGGAACTCTGGGAGTTGGTGATGGACAGGGAGGCCTGGCATGCTGCAGTCCATGGGGTCGCAAAGAGTCGGACATGACTTGAGTGACTGAACTGAACTGAACTGACCTTTCCCCTTTGGTAACAATAAGTTTCTGGGATTTTTAGGGCAACTGAAAGAATCCCTTTTCCTTCCCATTTTTTTTTAAAATGAGAAGTCATGAAGATGTTTAGATATGTAATGCCATATATTGACGTATGTTTTACTGTGTGACTTCCTCCATTGCTTCTGTATAACTGAGCAGTCTTGCTTCCTCTGGGATTTGCCTGGAATGGCACCTAAAGCTCCCTCAGGCAGCATAACAGACACCTTGCGGGTGGGCCCCCAGCACGTTTCCACTGACTCCTCTCTGACCTGGGATTCTCATCTATAAGTTCGTGCCTTTGTGAGTGACATTCGCTCTGCCTGGGTCCTCTTTTGCTCTTTGGTCCGGCTGGCTGAGTCTTACTGTTGCCTCAGGAGACACCCCAAGCATCGCCTTTCCGGGAAAGCTCCCTGACCTCCCGAGCTGGGCTGGGTGTTGGATCCTGAGGCCCCCCAGGAGCCCAGACCCATCTGTCACTTAGGACCCTGTTGATCCTGTGGGCATCGCTCTTTGGCTCCCTCTAGTGGACACACTGTGAGCCCCTTGCTGGGACCTTGCCTGTGCGTGTCACCTCTGGGCACGGCACTGGCAGTAGGGCCCATGCTTATCAGCAGTAAACGCAGCTCCCGATCAGTCGGTGCGGCCCTGCTTCTGCCACTGCTCCCGGCTAGACGCCCCACGTGCTGGGGGTGGGGCGGGTCTCTGCCTTGTCGCTTTCCACGGAGGGAACGTCATGATTGCTCATCAGTCTCCTTCCTCTCGCCCTTCCCAGATGTGCTGTGCCCCAGCGTTCGTGTGGAGGGAGATCGCTTTAAGCACACCAACGGCGGGACCAAGGAGATCACAGGTACGAGAAACCGCCGTCCAGCACAGCTTGCTTTGCAATGCCGTTTGCCAGACGTGAATCTTCCCTGGTGGCTCAGGCTGTGAAGAGTCTGCCTGCAATGCAGCAGACCCAGGTTCCATCCCTGGGTTGGGAAGATTCCCCTGGAGAAGGAAATGGCAACCCACTCTAGTATTCTCACCTGGAGAATCCCATGGACAGAGGAGCCTGGCGGGCTACAGTCCATGGAGTTGCAAAGAGTCAGACACAACTGAGCGACTAACACTTCCGCTTTCTTCTTTGCTGGACTCGACCACGACCCTCTTGGACTCAAGGTGGTAGCCTTGGTGGTACTGTCCTCATCCCCGTCTTTCACCAAAGTCCTGGGGTTGGTTTGAGCTGTGCAGGTAGCAGCTCCCCTCCACGAACGCCCACCAGGGGAGGCCATTCACGCCTTCCATCTGGGAGTCGGTGGTGATGCTGTAGGTGTCGGTAGAGAATGAAGTAGGATGAATTACGTGGGGAATGAGTAAGTGATGGGCAGCCCGAGTAAGAGGGTGAATAAATAGCTGCATTTGGGCGTGAAGGAGAGAGTGAATCAGAGTTATAAATATAGGAACGAATCAGTGGATGAGGGAGCGGAGAGACGCATGACTGCAGAGCCGGCAGCAGAAATAAGCACTGCAGGGGCTTTCTCCGTACACGACGGGGTGACTGGGGGCACGCAGGGACGGCTGAGCCAGCTTCCCCTTCATCCTGGCGGCGATGAGTGTCTGTCTACTGCTGCCTGTGGCCGGGCGTCCTGCAGACACCTTAGGTGCGTGATCACAGGGGAGCTTTCTCCCCCTCCAGGACAGCAGCCCAGCTCTCCTCACCAGTGCCGGCCGGGTCAGGAGCCCCATCTCTCCACCCCAAAGCGTTTTGGGTCCAGTACTAACCCACATGCAGTCTCCCTCCCGAGGCAGTGAGCCATGGGTGATGAGGACCAGGTGTCTCGTAGGTGCCACACTCCCCCACTCCCACCCCAGGGACCCTGCCTGCCCACATGAACGTGCCAGCATCTGCATCTTGGTGCCTGGGGGATGTTTCTAGAATGGGAGGAGACTGCTGCCTGTGTGCACAGCAGGTGAGATGAATCAGGGGGTTAACCCTGCTCGGGCGTCCCGGAGTAACCCAGCCCTCAGCCAGTGATCACGGGTGAAGAAACACTCAGGCCCTCTGACCTACTTCCTAGAGCATCCCAGGGGGGTCCCACCACAGCTGCTCGCCGGGGCTGAAGCTGGAGTTAAGGAGAGAAGGTGCTGCAGACCTGCCAAGTTCAGCGCAAATGGGTAATGGGAGCAGCTTTTGTAAAAGATGTGGTTCGCAAAGGCTCATCTCCAGGTGTTTCCTTAAGTGACTGCAGCTAGTCTTCAGGCTCAGTGGGGCTGGAGCAGCGAGGACGGGGTGGAGAACAGATCAGGCATTTGGAGGCAGCGCTCTGGGACTCAGTTTACCCACTTCCAACATAATGTCTCTTAGGACCCCTCCCAGCTCTGAAAACTGAACATTCTGCAGATTCTAGCACCTACGATGTTATGCAGTGCTCTCTGGAGTTTTTTTTTAATGGTGAAGGAAGGTGCTGGGCATGGTTTTACTCTGAAACTTGGCCACAGACGTTCCAATGGGTCTCTCTTTCTGCCTGCTCTCTGATGTCCAGATAATCATCACCAAGTCCCAACTGTCTCAGACGGTCCCAGCCCAGTGCTTCTTCCCTCCCCTCCCCGCCGGCCCCGGGTTTCCAGTCCAGTCCTCCCTGGTCCCCCAGCTCCTCCATCCCTGTGGTGAGAGTGACCTCTGAACACAGGCACAGAGCTGTGTTTCTCCCTGCTTTAAAGCCCTTCCTTGGCCTCCACCTCCTGCAGAAACTCAGACCACCTCACATGGCCGTCGGAGCCTGGCCCGATCTGCACCCACCTCACTCACTCCTTGTTTCCCCTCTCGTGGTTCCTGACATCCCGTAATAGTGGGAATTCTCAGAAGGAACCTCGCTGACTCAGGTCCGGTGACCTTTGCACATCCAGCACAGGTGAGCTGAACAGGCACACCTTGGATACCCTTTCCTCCTCCTCTCCCCAGATTTCACTTGTTCTTTAAATTCAGGCCAGGCCTTGCCTCCTCTCGGGAGCCCTCTTTGATGTCTCCTCAGCTGGGCCAGGCAGATACTCCATGTGCTCCTGTATAAGCCTAGACATCTCCCTCCTTCCCATCTACCCACTATACGGACGATGCTCACCTCTGTGCCCATTTCTCTGTGGACAGTAGACTTCAGGCAGTGGGAGGCACATTGGGAGTTTTGTCCTGTTGATTACTGAAATCTGAGCAGCCAATGGGGCATCTTAAGATGTAGGACGCCTGGAGTGGTTTAGTGAATTCCTTTCTTCTCTCCTTCCCTCTTTCCACCAGTGGAGCCTCAGTGAAGAACAACAGCAGATTCCATCCTTTTTCAGGGATGGAAGCATGAATCAGATCAGTCCCCACCCCGCCCCAATTGCTCAGCTTCCTCCACGTCAGACACTGTGTGCACCTTGGCCAAACCCACTGAAGACTGGGAAGTGACTCTCGTGCCCGGGGCGTCCAGCGAAGCGTGGTCCCTCGCAGACCTTTGAAGGACTCCGGGCGGTGGTCACGGTGTCCCTGATGCCATTTGCTTCAGCTGAGTCCACGACTTTAGGGAGGTGCCCCTTCACACTTTCTGCATTAAACCATTGCCTCTTTATCTCTCGGAGCGTCACATCCGAGTCCGCTTACCTCGGGAACATTTTTCATTTTCCTTCGCAGCCTTTATTTACTGCAGGCAATTCATCTTTCTCTCGGTGCCCTTTGCTGCCACCTCATTAATTGCTTGTTGTTCAGTTTCATGGTGTTTAAGTCTTTGTTTTTATTCATGGAAACCAGTGAAAGTGGGATTAGGCAGTAGAGCATATGTTTGCTTTTTGAAAAGTCTTTTTTTTTTTTGTTCTCTCACAAATAACTGCTACAGGGAAACCCAACTGAAGGTGGAAGTTTCCAGGAAGAGGGATGGCGCTGTGAAGGGAAGGAGCAGGCCTCCTTCCTGTTCAGCCCTGGCACTGCGCTGTGTGGGCATCGGGCACGTGCCCGCGGGATTTTGAACCCACTCTGTTGAGTGAGAGCCGGTGCTCCTTGGGACCTCTGGGGGCCAGTTCTCCCAGCTTGCTGCCAGTGCTGACATGTGCTTGGCTCAGAGCAGGCTCTCAAAAAATACATCTTGAATGAATAAATGAAATCCATGGACAGAGGTAGTGGGATGGGAGACTGCAGTCATTGTCAGGGGAAGTAATTAATATGAGAACTATTTTGTGGATCTTTCACTGCATGTCAGGCTCTGTATGATGAGCTTTGTATCATCATTCAAGCTTCACCACAAACCTTGTGAGTTGCATGCAAAGACAGTCCCCTTTCCACAGATGAAGAAATGGGTGCTCAGAGACGTTAGGCACCCTGCCTAAGGTCACATAGCTAGGACCTCATGGTCAGGAGGAAATGGAAAAACCCACTCCAGTATTCTCTGACCTGGAGAATCCCATGAACAAAGGAGCCTGGCAGGGCTTTCACTTTCAGGGTCAGCCCAGGTTGGTCTGGCTCTACTACGGATCAGACTCTTGGTCGGAGCTCTGTGCTTTCTGTCCTTGCAGCTCCTTGTGCAGAATTCGGAACAGACAGGCTCTCAGGAATACAAGTTGGATGACTCAGTCATCTCTTAGGACAGAATTTCTTGGTAGAAGATGTTTTAATCATCCTAACGTGAGAGTTCGTTTCCTGTTTTCCGTGGCCGCGCTCCAGAGTGTTGGAGCCAGAGGAACCTTCCTGGAGAATCGTAGGTTCGGTGCTGCCGATGCTGAGCAGCACATTAGCCCTGGGGATACGGAGACGAGAGAGGCCCGGTGCCTGCCCCGGGTGGGCCTCCCTTCACTGGCCGGGAGCACTTTCTTCCCTGGGGACGCGGTGTCAGGCCGATGCATCCCACTGATGCATCCGTGAGGGTTTTGTGGTTGGGCTTCTTTGAGGACCGTATCTGCAGGACTCAAACCAGCCCCCCACGCTGGTCCAGGTGGTTTTGTAGAGGGTCGTGGGTCAGGATGTATGGCTGGTGGTGCAGAATCCCAAGGAATAACTGACCTGCTGAGTCAGCTTCCTACCCTGTGTTGAGTGATCACCTGGGGTCCTTAGGACAGCCTCAGGTGAGGTGTCAACCTTCTGTCACAACCAAGCACCGAGGCTCCTGTGGGTTATGTCGCTGCTCAGCATCACAGATACGTGACTGACCTGGATGCCCCCCGCCCTGTCCAGCCTGCTCCCCTGAGTCTCAAGATCATGTTTTTCCCATTACTGCCCATGACCAGTGAGTGAGGTCCTCTCTTGGAACCAAAACAAAGTGAAAGACACCTTTCTGTTACTGCAGTATCACAGACAGCCGTCTTCTCTCTGATGTGTCTCGTCTCTTTGGACAGGTTTTGACCTGATGGACTTGTTCAGTGTGAAGACACTCTTGGGGGAGAGAGAGAACGGGGTGCAGAGCTCCTACGTCCGGATGGGATCCTTCCCTGTGGTGCAGAGGACCGAGTGAGTGCTGGCTTCCCCTGCCGCCCCCAGACCTGCCCCGGACGCCTCCGCAAGGGCGGGAAGGAGCCGGTGAGCTTGGCTGCTCGCTGAGCACTGGGTAGGGGTTTAGCCTACAGAGTGCCTGGTAAGATCACCCTGCGATGAAGCATCCATCACTGACCCCGGAAATTCTACCTGTTTCTTAACTGATCTGTTCCCAGTGATGTTACTGGTCCCCCGGTCCTCCTGCACTCACCTCTCTATATGGATTTGGGGCTTCCCTGGTGGCTCAGAGGTTAAAGCGTCTGCCTGCAATGCGGGAGACCTGGGTTCTATCCCTGGGTCGGGAAGATCCCCTGGAGAAGGAAATGGCAACCCACTCCAGTACTCTTGCCTGGAGAATCCCATGGACGGAGGAGCCTGGTAGGCTACAGTCCACGGGGTTTCAAAGAGTCGGACACGACTGAGTGACTTCACTTTCTCCATTCACTCATGCATGTATTTTTAAAACGGGACAGTAACCCGTTCAAAATCTCATAGTCCTAGGAAGCAGAAGTTGGCCTCGAACTCCGGTTCTCCAACTCCAGTCCCTCTACACTGTCCTGTATTTCTGTGTATGTATGAACAGCCAAAGAAAAAGTCTTAGTCTCTTGATAGATTTACAGGAAGGTAGTGACAGAGATAGATAGAGATAGGAGCATGCCCTTAAGTTGCTGTAGGTTTGGTTCCAGACCACCACAGTAAATTGAACGTCGAAACAAAGCTAGTCATACATTTTTTGGTTTCCCAGTGTGTATCAAAGTTATGTTTACATCGAACTGCAGTCTGTTAAGTGTGCAACAGCATTGCGTCTAACAAAACAATGTACATATCTTAGTTGAAAAAGAGTACTGTGTGATAGTGACCCCAATGGACTTGCTTGGTGCAGAGTAGTCACCAGTTTTCCATTTTAAAACAACACAGTATCTTCAAAGCCAGAGCAGTATCTAAACACAGTATCTTTAGTAAAGCTAAAGCAAAAGGAGGCATGCCTGTGTATAGATACACAGATGTAGATATAGTTATAAATAGTTATAAATACATAGATACAGCATATACATGGGCTTCCCAGGTGGCTCAATGGGTAAAGAATCCACCTGCCAATGCAGGAGATGCGAGAGACGTGGGTTCAGTCCCTGGGTTCGGAAGATCCCCTGGAGAAGGAAATGGCAGCCCACTCCAGTATTCTTGCCTGGAAAATTCCATGAACAGAGGAACCTGATGGGCTACAGAGTTGGACACAACTGAGCGACTGAACACATACACACCCATAGCATATCTGTCTGTATGTTACACGTACATGTGTGTTGAGATGTAAGTGTATTTGGAGGATCATTGGCAGAGTTGGCCTCATTGTTGCAATAAGATAAAAAAGGAAGTGAAGGGCAACATCCGTCTGAGGCTCCCAAGCCCATGTGCATGCAGACCCTCCCATGGGCAGTGACCGGGGGTGGCCCTGACTCCCGGGGAGGCCCAGGGTAGTGATGGGCGCTGCTCCCAGCTCTGGGGTGTGATCCAGGGTGGAATCTCAGCTCAGAGAATGACTCTGAGCAGCTGGGCCGACTCGCGGCTTGGATCTGAGACCTGAGACTCACAGCAGGAGGACCAGTCTTTGTTCGCAGCTCCTACAGCCAAACCAAGGGTCCCTGAGGGTCCACGGGTCTGAGAACCAGGAAGCCAGACACCCCCTCATTTCCCGTCCTGGCTCTCGGGCCAGACAGCCTCCACCCACTCCAGTGCAGAAGCAGTGCCTCTGAGCAGGGCAACAGCTGATGGTGACGAGGGGCGCTCTGGAGACCAGCCGGTCTCCAGGGGGCAGTCTCTGCTGGGCGGCTGAGCCCTGGGAGTTTTGCCACGACAGCCGGCCGCCCTCAGCTGGGATAGGAGCGCCACATCTCCGCACGCCCCTGACCCCTGGCAGGGAGCTGCGCTCCCTCCGCAAAGGGCAGTGTGCCTGCCGTGTACGGCTGTCTGGGCTGGAGCTGACGGGGTGGAGGGACTTCACAGATAAGAGCTGGCCCCCCGCGCTCTGCAGGAAACCAGTGCTCTATGGGGACGGAGGGTGTCCTGTGATGTGGGGCAGCGACCAGGCAGGATAAGACACCCTTGTGTGGCCTTCCTGGGGGGCAGCAGGCAGGGAGAGATGAGGCTGGCACACTCGGCTGCATCTGACCCCAGGGCGGGAGGCAGTGTAGCATCTCATTGATTTTGGAGAGATGGAAGCGGATGAGCATTGGAGGGGAGGTGGATTTAAGGGACAAGACAGGGCTCAGAAAGAGTTGTGTGGAGGCCCTGCTGGGAGGAAAAGGCAGTGAAGACAGGTGAGAAGGTAGACTTCTGAAATCCACGAGGTCAGCATGGCAAGACTCAGTGACCCCGGGGTGCCTGGGCTTCCTTTGCAGCCTCCGCTCTCAGCCTGGCGTCTCTTGTCTCCCTCCAGGGACGTGTTCCCGCAAGGCTTGCCCGATGAGTATGCCTTTGTCACCACCTTCCGGCTCAGGAAATCGTCCCGGAGAGAAGACTGGTATATCTGGCAGGTCATCGACCAGTATGGCATCCCGCAGGTGTGAGCCGCATGCCGTGTCCCGGTGCGGACTTCCGTCTCCTCCTCGTGGGTCAGAGCAGCACCCCCTGTTTTCTCAAGGGGTCCTTGTCTTGGGCCCTGAAAATGGAGAGTCCAGTGTATCCAGGCCCAGGGTACCTGCAGGGACTGGGAGACCCCCGGGGATCTCCCGGGTACTGAAGCCTTCTTTTTCCCCTGATGGCCAAGTGCCCAGCGCCCTGGTGGGCTGACGGCCTAGTTCCTTTCTCAGGGACCCTCAGCCCAGCCAGGGAGGTGGCGGCCAGCACTGCTGTCCTATAGCACGTGTTGTTAGCAGCATGTTCATGATGTAGTGGAGGAAACCGGCTCAGAGTCGGCATGACTGGGGCTCAGACCTTGTGTCTGGTCCTTTCTTGGTGTGGGCTCTGAGCCACATTGGCTTTCCAAGTTCTCATGTTCTCAGCTGGGACACAGAGCACCTCCCATCAACAGCTGGTGGAGGCATCGTATGGAGTGATGTCTGTAAAGCATCTAAGATGCTGCCTGACGTGTAACAGAGTTTTTATGATCGTCCTTGGTTTGACCTTCAGTGGAGCGCTGCAGCCTGTCTTTGCCCACATCGGGTGCATTCTGGTTCTCATCCCTGTGAAGCTGGGACAGTCCAGCAGCAGCAGGCAGCCAAGTGAGGGCCCACCTCTCTCGAGACCCAGACCATCAGCACGATGCGTCATCTGAGATATAACTCCCAAACCCCTCGTTCTCAGAGCTCATGGACCAACAGTGTCTGTCATTCACCCTTGTCCCCTCTCGATGTATGAGCCGTATCGAGACGTGACTCATTTTCATCTGGGAGACACTGATGTATTTTCATTTGGAGTTGAAACAAAACAAAAGCATGCTCAAGCCACAGGACCACAGCAGCCACTCTCACGGGCTGCTTGCTGAGAGGGGACTTGCTCCTTGGTGGTGAGGTCACATCCTGAGGCTGAAACTGAGCCCTGACCTCGAGCACACATTGTACCCACTCACACACAGTCAGTAGGAGCCCAGGCTTGTTCCGAGTGCTTCAGAGGTCCTTGTGCAGTCCCCCTAACCGCCCTGTGAAGACTGTGACAGGGGTAGTTGCTCAGTCGCGCCTGACTCTTTTCGACCCCATGGACTGTAGGCTCCTCTGTCAGTGGGATTCTCCAGGCAAGAATACTGGAGTAGGTTGCTGTTTCCTTCTCTAGGGGCTCTTCCTGGCCCAGGGATCAAACCCAGGTCTCCTGCATCACAGGCAGATTCTTTGTCATCTGAGCCATTGGGGGCGCCCCATGAATAAGCTCTGCTGTTTCCCTCTAACAGAGAAGAGGAGGCATTGCAGCGAGCTTAAGCATCTGCCTGGCATTCGTAGGTTGTGATGGGGGGAGGTGGGATTGGAACCCAGGCCATTGAACTCCAAGTCTGTCTTTTGACCAGTGTGCCCTGCTGCTTCCGGTCCCCATCAGCTAGTCCTATGGAATGACACTGCCACAGTATCCCTGGTCAGACGGGTGCAGAGTGCAGTCAGGCTTGGCTGCCTGGCGGCCTGACCTCCTGAGCGCGGGAGGCTGGGCGGAGGAGGTGCGAGTCTGCTCCAGAGGCTGTTTTTGCAGACAGCAGGCAGCGCACCGTGACCCCTGTGCACCATCTGCAGACACATACATCTCTGGCGCTGTGGGGTTCAGTGCTGTGGGCCTGGGCGCCTGCCATGGCATTCCTGTGGACGAGCTCGCTCTGCCCCCGCCGTCTGGGTCCTCTTCCTTCATGGCGTTTGCAGAGCTGTGTGCGCTTCCTCTGCCATGTCCACCCCCTCCTCTCCTGCTGCCAGAATGCGCCCCAGCCTGGAATCCTGTAGAGCCGTGTGCAGTCAGAACCTGCCTTTTCCGAGAGGCACCTGGCAGTCGCGTTCCGTCAAACAGGCCTCGGGATTGACCCTTCCCTGGAAATGTCACGATGGCCACCCCAATCACGCCCTAGGGAAATCCTGGCCAGACCCAGGAAAAGTGGGCAGAAGCCAAGTAGCAGATGATCTCTGAGCAGAGTGTTGCGAGCAGCCTTCCTCTGTGCTCTTGGACCTGTAGACCTGGAACTAGACCTAGCTATATTACCTCTGTGACCCCATGTAGGAGCACAGCCTCTCTTGACCATTGGCATGTCATTGGGAGGAACTGAGGGGCACTCACTCATTCCAGGTCTGATGAAGGGCCAGGGAGGAGACTGGTCCTGAAGCAGGGGTGGGGGGCACACTTGGAGATGGGGCTCCTGACCGGGTGGGCAGCCAGTGCAGGGGCCTGAGACCAGGTGCTGGGAGGTGGGAAGGCCTGGAACACGGAGCCTGGGAGACCATTGTCCTCTTGGCAAAGGATGAGGTTGACTCAGACCAAGTAGTTGTGGGGAACTGGGGAGAAATCGGATTCTGGGTATGTATTTTGAAAATAGAAACATTAGGGTTTGCTGATGGATCCGACCCATGGGCTGTCTTCCTGAGGCCTCCTGGCTGAGATTGGTAGACACAGGACTTGGGTCTGACAGGCCTTCCTATGCTCTGTTTTGTGCTGAGAGAAATAGAAACATTGGAGAAAAACTCATGGCCTCGTGAAGCTCCCCAAGTCCTCAGGGGTTCAGGGCTCAAACAGGTGAAACTAATTTCAAGAACTAGCAGACAAGGTTTAATCACAAGTATTAGATTATATGTATGTGAGGTTTCAGGAGGAGGGCCTGACAACACACTCGAGCATCTTGCCTGGAGAATCCCCATGGACAGAGGAACCTGGCAGCTACAGTCCATGGAGCTGCAGAGTCAGACACAACTGAGCGACTCAGCACAGCACATGAGAAGTTTCAGGTTATTAGTCAGGGGTTCATAGTTTTGTTCCTCACTGTAATTGTAACATACCACTAGACAGTGCAAAAAATAATAAATCTCAGGTCCCCCTTGGCTGGACTGAGCCCACGTGGAGCCCAGACAGAGGAACCAGAGCACCTGGGTGGTGCCCTGAACACCGGCTGGGCTGCAGGCCAGCGGGCTCCTTCCTTTAACCTCAGCGCTCACGTTCATTCATTCCCTTTCTGTTAAGTGCTACTGTGTGGTGTGTGTTGTCCTAGCTACTGGGATTAAAGAGATGAGCAATGGAGACAGAGTGCCTGCTTAGAAAGATGGGGTAGGGCAGGCAAGAAACAGGTGGACAAAACAAGTGAATGAGATACTCTCATATACTGACCCCAAGTGCTATGAGAAAATAAATCGACATGCCTGAGGATGTGAGAGCACATGACCAGGTTAGAATCCAGTATATGTGTGTCTCAGAGAAGGCTGCACTGCGGTGATGTCTTTGAACTTGCTTGATTTATTATAGCTGGTATGTAGAACAGCACTTTACTTATAACAAGTACTGTAAATGTTTTACATATCTGTAAATTCATTTAATCTCTGTAACAATTCTATGAAGTTGGCACTATCATTGGTGCTGTTTTACAAATGAAGAAATAGCACAGAGAGGTTAAATAACTTGTGTACATAAATACGTAGATGTGGCTCAGCAGTAAAGAATCTGCCTGCAATGCGGGGGACGTGGAAGATGTGAGTTTGATCCCTGGGGAAGATCCCCTGGAGATGGGCATGGCAACCCACTCCAGTATTCTTGCCTGGAGAATCCCATGAACACGAGGTCACACAGCTTAAAAGTGACTTGCCAGTTTGGGTCTAGGAGGAAAATAAAACTTTCCTCCAGAGTTTTCCGGGCATTTTGCAAAAGGCTAGGGGGTAATCCAGTGAACAAGATGGGCACGTCCCCTGCATTCTGCTGGGACTTCAGTTTCATCCTCAAGGTGAGAGAGAGCAGGTTAGTGGACGGCTCTCAGACTGGCACCTGGCGTCTGGAAACAGTCTTGTTCTCTGGGCTTTTAAAAAACGCTGGAACCACTCAGGCTTTCTGGTCGGTCTCACAACTCAAGCCCCATCCACACTCGCAGGTTCGCAAATGTGCTCTCACGGGCATGGCCCCTCTGGGCATTTGAGACTTTGACCCTTGGATTAAGGTGTGAGCTCAAGTCTTCGAGTACAAGGTTGAGAACAGCGTAGGAGGTAGATGTCAGTCATAGCATCGCAGTGAGGGGGACCCCAAAGCTTAGGGATGGGAAGCGACGTGCCTGAGGCTGACCGGCTGGGGAGGGTCACGGCCGGGGTCTGACTCTGTGACCCCCCCCCCCCCCACTGTCCTCTCCCGCCTCGGGCCCAGGCAGCTCACGGGGACCCTCGTGCTCTCCTCCCCAGGTGTCCATCCGGCTGGACGGCGAGAACAAGGCCGTGGAGTACAACGCCGTGGGCGCCATGAAGGACGCCGTCAGGGTGGTCTTCCGGGGCCCCCGGGTCCACGACCTCTTCGACCGGGACTGGCACAAGGTGGCCCTGAGCGTGCAGGCTCAGCACGTCTCCCTGTATGTGGACTGTGCGCTGGTGCAGACGCTGCCCCTCGAGGAGCGGGAAAACATCGACATCCAGGGCAAGACAGTGATCGGCAAGCGCCTCTACGACAGTGTGCCCATCGACGTGAGTTCCGGGGTCGCGGGGTCACCGGGGAGGGGCCTCAGGAGCTGGGGGCCCCCACGCCTGCCTGTGTCACTTATCAAGTCATCACCGTTGACTGTCTTAGGAGCGATGACCCTGACTCAGCACACTGCTGTGTCCCGTCATTCATTCACTCGTTCAGTGACCTAGCCACTTACTCATTTATCATGTATACTGAGCACCTACTGTGTGCTGGACACTGTGCTCTGCGCTGGGGACATGGGTCACATATCTCCATATCACACTCACACTCGTCAAGCAGAGTCATGTCCGACTCTCTCTGACCCCATGGACTGTGGCCCACCAAGCTCTGTCCATGGGATTCTCCAGGCTAGGATACTGGAGTGGGTCGCCATGCCCTCCCAGGGATCTTCCCAACCCAGGGGTCGAATCTGCATCTTCTGTGTCCCCTGCATTGCATGCAGATTCTTTACTGCTAAGCCACATTGACGTATATGTGGAGGCAAAATCGGTGGGTAGGTAGAGTTATATAGTTTCCTTTACACTTAAATAGATTCTTTTCCCTTCTCTGGTTGTCGGAAATTAGGAAAATATAGGCAAGTATGTGGGAAATAAGTGAAAAGCATCCTCAGTCCTCCAGCCCGGGATGTTAACCAGGAATGATTCAGTAGCTGGAAAGAGCAGTCCTTCCATCTTCATCCCATCATTCTTTTTTCTTTGTCTTCCCTCCTCCTGTCTCTCTTCTCCTCTTTCCTTTAATGTATTTTCTCCTCTAGAGGTGCATTCCGACACATACACACACAGATACATACACTTACGCACTGTCTTCAAACTGAAGTCATTCTATCCTTCTGACTGGAAGGATCTGCCCCCGCTTGCCAAAATGTAAACGAATCACGATCTGCGATAGCTAGCTCTTCCCAAAGCTGTTTCTTTTTCTTTTTTTTTTCCATGTATTTGCATTTCTGTGATCAAATGTAGTGTTGTTGGATGTGTGCTGTGTATTTTGAAATGTATGTAATAATGTACAGCATGTAGAGTCACATACTCCTTTTTCCTCTCAAAATTATGTGTTTAAGCTTTTATTCCTTTTAGCTGCTTCATAATACTTTATTTTAGTGTATGTTTTGCTTATTTGATCTCCTGTTGGTGGGTATTTAGGTTGCCTTGATGTTTTACCATCATAACCAACAGGTCTTGGGTTTTGAATATGCTGGTGTCTCTCCAGGTGCTTTCGTGGAGAAAATGGGGTAATAGAGTCCTTTTATATTAAGGGCGCAGTGGTATTTAAGACAGTGATAGAAGCAGATTTGTGATATGAAAAAAGTTCAGTTAAGACACCCTGTGGAGATGCTGAAGAGTTGATAAGAGGAACACGCTGAACCTTTGGAGACTGTTGGCGATCGTGTCACAGCCCGACCTGTAGTGACCGCAGCGGCAGTGAGCGGGGAGCGGAGGGGCGTGCCAGGGGGCCTGACACATGGAAAACAGGAGACTCTGCTCCTAGCCTGTGCTCACTTGCTCTTTGCACACGGGGCTTGCACTTTTGGAAGGATGGGATGTCAGTAGATGACACCTTGGCTCCCTCTGACATTCAGCTGGGGGTCAGACTACCATGCAGGACCCCAAGGAGGAAGTGGGCCAGATCCCTGAGCGGGGTCTGCCTGATACCTGGGGGGAGTCTGGGTTCTGAGCCCCCCAAAACTCATCCTCTGACCTTGCTTCCCCTCCCAGTTTGACCTCCAGCGGGTCGTGATTTACTGTGACTCCCGACACGCGGAACTGGAAACCTGCTGTGACATCCCCTCGGGTCCGGTGAGCAGAGACTCTGCCTGGCATGGGGTGGGGGGGGATGGGCCCTTGACTTCCTCCCCATGACCCCCTGAGGAGGGGATGTCCAGGGCCTGGGAGCAGAATCAGGACACCCGCCATCAGAGTGCGGCCTGGGAGGGAGCCCCCTGGTCATCACCGGGGCTCCAGTTCTGGGTCGGGTGGGGCGTGGGTTGGGGATGCAAGTCCCTCTGGCCTCCGTCAGCAGCCACGGGGCCTCAGCTCTGGGCAGTGAGGGGCAGAGGCTGGCGCCTGTCCCCAGGAGAGAATGGCCTCGTCCCCAGGAGAGAATGGCCTCAGTACTGCTGGTGCTCAGGGCTCTTTAGCACGACTGGGGAGGCAGCTCGGGGTCAGGAACAGCGGGCCAGACCAGACTGCCTGGTGTGCCTGGACTCTCTGTGCGGTTCTGCCTGTCCTGGGCCCTCCCCACCTCCGTCTCCACCCAGGTGCCTCCTCTGCACTCTCTGTACCGAGGACCCATCCCAAGGATGCTTCAGCAATCCTGCCTTCCAGGGCTGAAGGCTAAAATCCCCGCACTGTGCTCGGCCGGCCCCCAGAGGTGGCCCTTGTCAGAGGCGGGCCTGCAGAGTCAGATGAGCCCGGCTGTTGAGAGAGAAGAGGAAGGAAGGGGAGGAGGACAGATTAAATCAGGAGAGGATGAAGGGAAAGAGGGGAGGCAGGGGAGGGGAAGGGAAAGAGGAAAGAAGAGAGGGAAAGGAGGGAAATAAGTCATTATCTGGCACTTGCCGGGCTCCTGGTGTCCAGACTCTGAGCTCGATACTTCAGTTCAGTCCCACTAAACCCTTCTCACCGCATGATGATGGAAACGCCCTTGTCCCCATTTTTCGGAGGTTAACACTGAGGCTCAGGGGTGCTAAGGAGTTCCCGCAGGCTGCTGAGAGGCCAGTGGAGGAGCCTAGACCCGTTGGCTCACCTGACTCCAGACGAGCCTGGCTCCATGCCCATCTGACTCTGAGGTCTCGGGGTGCCAGGACCTACCGTCAGATACTTGCCCATCCTGCTCAGGCTCTGGCCTCCTCAGGGTTCCCTGCTCCCCCTTGCCTGGACAGGGAGGCACTCCAGGCTGCTGGAATAGAAGCCAGGTTCTGACCACTGTGCTTTCCTCCCAGTGTCAGGTGACCGTGCTGACGGAACCCTCCCCCCTGCCCCAGCCACCGCCCACCTCCGGCAGTGAGCAGATCGGGTTTTTGAAGACCATCAACTGCTCCTGCCCACCTGGAGAAAAGGTACACAGTCCACCGTCAGCTGCAGGCTTGGGGCCCCAGAGCGCAGTGGGCCCAGAGCTCACAGAACTAACAGTGGAGGTGGGAATTTCCCATCATGCACATGGGCTGCCAGGGCAGGATGACCCCGGGCTCCAGGTAATTCTTGGGTCTGGGGACCATTCTTGCTCCTGGGACTTCTTCTGGATCTCTATGGGCCTTGGGAGGGGGGCCGCTCAGACCCCACTGGGGTGAACATTTTCCTGAAGTTAATGATGTCCTTTCAAGGTTTCTCTGCCTCCTGGTGTCCTCGTCACCCCTGGGCAACTAAACAGCTGGATTTGCTTTGAGAATAAGTGTCAGCAGGGCAGCGGCAGAGGGTTCAGGTGGCTCTGTGGGATCCACCCGCATCCCTCTGTGCTCCGTTGGCCATACTGTGTAATCTAAATGCATATAGGAAGAGTTTAGCACCTCTTGTTTTAAAACCCAGTGTGTTTCTGACTACCACACCACCTCCCGTTTGTCTAGATAAAATGTCTTCTTGGACGCCTGGGGCCTTCATCTGTTGTTTTTCTGTAGGCCAGCGGCCTTCTTAATAAGGAAAAAATTTCCACTGTTGGAGCAGAACAAGCAAATAACACCAGGATGACAAACTGGAGTTGGTCTCCACGAGGCTTTGCTCAACAGGTGGCCCCAGGGCCCTCCATCTCCTGTGTTCGCCATGTCCATCACTCTGTCTACCCCTCCCAGCTCGGGGCCGGCACGCGGCGGGTCCCCCCCGACTTCACAGGGGTCTTGGGAGACAGGCCAGCATCCAAAGTGGCGACTGAGGTTACTTGGAGAGAGCACACTGCAGGAATTTCCCAACAGTTCTGTTTCAGTAAACCTGCCTGTCGTGGCAGCCTCTCCTCCCTACCACCCCGCTCCTCTGTTCTCCCTCACTGTCTCCTTTCTTCTTTCCTCCCAGAGGACCCCCAAGGAGCTCTCAGCCAGGTGGGGTGGTCAGACCGTGGCCCTACCTGTTGGGAGGCCTCAAGGAGCCAGCCCAGTCACGCTGCGAGCTGAAGCTTTTCTGGGGAGTCGGTGAAGTGGGGCGCCTCTGGCCTGGTGCTGGGTTCTGATTGGGAAAAGCCGGGGAGGGAGTCAGAGTGTGTGCCCACAGGGTGCTGGGCAGGGCTCCTCCTCCTCCACGGCGCCCTGGGCACACTCAGGGCTTCAGACCATGGACAAGTGCTGATCAGGTTCCCACCCGTCAATGCCATAACAAAAGCAGCCATCCAAACCCATTTAAACCTTAGCAGTCTTTGTTTTCTGTTAAAAACCCCTAACGAGAAGGGTGACTGCAGCAGCGTGAGGTTTGGCGCACCTGCACGCAGACTGTGCCAGGGAGGGTGGCCAGTGGGGCTCTGCTCAGGTCAGGGTTTCCCCGGAGTCCTGCCCTGGTGGGGACCCCTGTGGGGAAGTCTGGTGTCAAGCAGGCTTCTGTCCTCTCTTCCCACCCACCTTCCCTGTCCCCAGCTCACAGACATCCGCTGGATGGTCACTGACCTACTCGGCTTGGCCTCCGATCCCCCGGCTGTCCCCCTCTATGCGGCCCCCCGTGGCTCCCAGTTGCCCTTCTTGCCTTATTTCACTCCACGTTCCCCTCCAGTTTCCAGGCAGGCAGGAGCGTCCTGTTCCGTGGAGGGGTCGTGATCCTCCTTGCCTTCTGGAGTGTGCATGTATAGGTTCTTCTGCCTGGAACACCTTTTCCCCTTCCCTCCTTTTTATCTGGCTAATGCCTGTTCTTCTTTCAAGACTTCCGCAGAGAATCCTTTTCTCCTCACACTGTTGTCTGATTTTCCTCCTTCTTTCCTCCTGGCTCCCCTTCCCTGCTCCTCCTTTCTCTTACTTTCGACTCCCTCCCTCCTTCTATCCTTCCTTCCTTCTTTCACATCCATCTGTTCAGTAATTATTCGTTCAGCACCTGCTATTTGTGTGATGTTATGACCCTTTTCTCTCCCTCTTCTTCCATCTACCGTGGTAGTTATCACACTGGATGAAGACTGTCTGCTTGTCTCTACTTCCATAAGCTCATAAATTCCAGATGGCAAAGACTGAATCATTGTTTGTCTATGTTTTCAGCCACTGTATTAAATCATGATTGAGTTGATGGGAAGGTGGGATCCAGGCAGGGTATGAAGCAATGGATGGAATGGATTATTGGGTGATGCTCCCCGGAATTTGAGGCTGGCGTCTGTTGACTGATGGATGGCCTCTCCACCAGGAGCTGTATTTGGAGGCCAGGTTCCAGCTCCCCATGCAGGTTGGCAGTTCAGGATCAGGAACTCTCAGCTGCCATGAACTCTGCAGCTTACTGATCAGCACGTGGCTTGCTAAGAGACTGGCTTACGATCCTGTGCCAGGGATTGCCCGCCAGTGAAGAGAGAAGGGGGAAATTAAGACAGAGCCTTACTTGTTTCTTTTCTCTTTCTTCCCTTAGGGTGAGAAGGGCTTCGATGGCCCCATTGGACTCCCCGGCCCAAAGGTCAGTACTGGAGCCACAGATGAGTCCTTTGAGCCTGAGGATGTTTTGATTTGCTCTCTTTGTAAGAAAGGAAAAAAACAAAAACAAAAACAAAACAGTGGTGTGTTAGTTTACTGTCTTTTGGAGTTTTTCTTCTGAGCTTGTTGAGATGGAAGAACAGAGCAAGTGCCATGAAGTTGGGAACCTTTGAGTCTCTTCACAGCTCAGAAGGTCCATTTCTCAGCTCGACAGTGTGAGCTGGAAAGAGGTGGAACTCACACGCCCAGGCTTAGATCTTGTTTGTTCCGGCAGCCTCAGTTCTCTGTGGTCAGCTAGCCCTTCATCCATCCTTTCAGGTCTCTGTATTCCAGAAACTTTGGGGGTTGGGCTATAAACAGTCTAGCACCTGCGATCTATCTGTTTAAATGGGTTGGAATTATTTCTGTGCACGTTTTCCAAGCTCACCAATTGCTCAAAGCCAGGTCTCTCCCCGGGGGCTCCCCTTTCCTCATTCAGGGAGCAGCTGTTTCTCTCTCTACCACTGCCCAGGTTTGCAGCATTTATGGGGCAGGACGGGGCTGTCATCTCCCATCATGATTTTGGTCTCAGAAAGCTGAGACCCAGGAAGATGTGGATTGCCCCTGGGGGTGCGTCACACAGAGGCTGAGGGCAGAGGTTAGCGTGGCCCAGTGGCTATCACCTGGTCTGGTGTCAGAAGGAGGGGCTGAGTGTAAGGATGGAGACACAGGGATGCCTCTCTTCCCTCCTCCCTACCTCATTCTCCCCTCCCCCTTTCCTTCCCTCTCCCCCTCCCTCACCTGCATGGATGATGGTCAAGTTCAGTGAACCGCCGTGGAGTGCCTGCTAAGGTCCCTTTTTGTCTTTTCCCTTCTTCCTTCCTCTGTGTGTATCTCCTTCATCTCCGCTCCTCTCACCCTGCTCCCCTCTGCCCCCAGTCTGCTAGGATGGAGAGGACACACACAGACACACATGGGCGTGCACACGTGTGCACACACAGACACAGACACACAAATGTGCACACATGTGCACACACACAGGCATGCACACACATACTCACACAGTCACACACACACACTCAAGCAGCTCAGGGATCCAGGATGCCCCGTGTTCTCTGCAAAGAGGAGAGCCGGGGTTTCTGCTCGGGCACCCCCAGGCTGGCAGTGAAAGAAGGGAGCAGAGCCGTCTGGGGCCGTGAGAGCCTCTAAGTAGAAAATGTTTTGTCTGAAGCAGTGACTGTTCACGGAGCGACCATGCTGGGGCTCTGGTGGAACAGATCCGTGGTGTGCGGGTGGCAGAGCCCGCCCTCGGGCCTGGAGAAAATGCAAGGTGACAGGGATTCCCAGGAGAGAAGAGGCCCCGCCGCCTGTGGGGGAGCCTGGCTGCCCCATGGCTGGTCAGCTGTCCTGGCCCTTCATCCGTGTCCCAGCCCGTCCATGGGTAGGAGGCTGCATGAACACTTGTGAGTCCCTTGGCTCCGTTTACCTAGAGGTCACTCAGGTCATGTCCACAGGCGTGGCCTGGTGGACCCGCGTGCCCAGGCCCTCTCTGGATGCTAGGATGTACCTGTGGGTGACACGGAGCTGGGTCCCCGGGACTCAGAGGCAGCAGGAAGAGGCAGGGCAGGGCGATGGGAGAGTGGGTGGGGGCGCGGGGTCAGAGGGGGGCCCTGAAGCTGCCTGGGGGGGGGGCTCCAGGATGCCTGGGGCCCCCGCCCGAGCTGGGTCCGGTAGGATGCGTGGAATCTCCCATTCCCACTGCCAGCGACCAGCGTGCGAGGCTTTCATCCACCCGCTGTCTCAAGCTGTCCTGGGCTCCTGGAATTAGGAGGTTGGGGAAGTTATTCAGATGCTTTTCTCCTCTCCGGAAGTGGGAGGTCTGGCCTCACAGTGCAGTTGGCAGTGACGAAACCAGTTGCTTCCGGGAAATGGGGGCAAGGTGGGCCATGGGCGGCCAGTGTCGGGGAGCCCGACCGACCGGGGACCTGACCCGGTGTTGTCTCTGGTTTCCACCCCTCAGGGAGACACAGGAGCCACTGGGCCGGTGGGAGCTCCTGGACCCAAGGGAGAGAAAGGAGACACGGTGAGTGGAGGCCTGTCCACCACGGCTAGGGAGGGGGACCCCTCTCCATGGGCACGGGGGGTCTCCCGGCCACTGTGGCCTCACCCCGCACCACCCCACCCCGAACCCCTGGAACCCTGTGCTCCAGATGGGAGCGGCATCTCCAGCACCAATGGCACAGATTCAGAGTAGGTGGGCCCCGGCCACTGGCCTTGGCTCCAGACTTCGTTAGCTGTGTGGCTGTGAGGTTGGTCTCTTAATCTCTGAAAATCTCATTTACTCCACTAGCAAAGTAAAGAAAGTAACAACTTTTGTCTATAAAATGCCTGGGCCGTGGTAGGTGGTCAGTGAATGAGAACGCGTCTAGCCAGTTCCTTTTAGGTTCTGTGCTCAGGGGGTTCCCTGAGACAATACAGGCAAGACAGAGTCACTCTCCTAGACATGGTAGCCTGGCAGATACCACCGCTCATGTCATCATCTGAGAGCTCGTAATTGTAACTGTACCACCTGCCCTTCGTCAGCTGTCAACCATACTCCAATAAAAAGTTAAAACAAGTGTTTCCAAGGAGTAGGGAGGGAACCCACATGCAGTGGAGTATACAGTGGATTTACAGTGTTATGTTGGTTTCTGCTGTACAGTGGAGTGACTCAGCCATACACATCCCTTCTTTTTTGATTCCCTTCCTATTTAGGTGACCACAGAGCATTGATTAGAGTTCCTTGTGCTGTACTGTTAGATTCGCACTGGTTATCTATTTTAGACATAGTATCAATAGCGTCTATATGCCAATCTCAACCTCCCAACTCATCCTACCCCAGAACATAGTCCCGTCACTTCTCTGATATGAAGGATACAGGGTTTTCAGACTTGTATGATATGCTTGTTATCACGGAGCCTGCATTTGTCAGAGGTGAGATGTGAACCTGTTTTAACCTGAGTCTTGTGCTCACCTGCTGAGCTACACCTTTCACCCACACCGTGGATACCTGTCTCCTGTAGAGGTGGGGAGCATCTGATCTGTGCAAATCAACACGGAGGAGGGAAGACCTGCTGATTGAACAGTGTATGCTGTGTTCCACGGCTCTGTCTACCTCAGTCTGTTTGACCGTATTCCTTCTCACTTAACCTTCAGATCAATGTTATGAGGTGGGGGTTAGTGAAACACCCATCTCACTCCTACACGGGGAAAAAAGCAGGTGGCCAGAAACAGCCAGCGAGAGGTATCAGATGTCAGATTTAATACACAAAGCCTGCAAAGTAACCATTAAATTATATCCAAAGAACTAAAGGAAACTGTTCTGAAGGAAATGGAGGGGAGTGTTGTGACAATATCTCATCAAATACAGAATATAAAGAAGTATAACAGATTTGAACTGGCTGAAGAAAGAGCCAGAATTCTTGAAAATAAATCAGGGGAGATTACTTAAACTGAAGATCAGAGAGAAAAAATAATGAATAGAAATGAAGAGCCTCAGAGAAATGTGGGGGCCCATGAAGTCAATCAGTGGGCATATAATATGGTTACCAGGAGAGGAGCATAAAGAGTAATCAGAGAAATCATGTCTAAAGACATCCTAAACTTGATGAAGCATAGTCATCTACACACTCAGTGACTCTAATCAAGAAATGCAAAAGGAGATCCATCCTTAAAAACATCATAGTATCAATTTGTTGTTCAGTCACTAAGTTGTGTGCAGTTCTTTGCAACCCCATGAACTGCAGCACACCAGGCCTCCCTGTCCTTCACCGTCTCTCAGAGTTTGCTCAGACTCGTGTCCATTGAGTTGGTGATGCCATCCAACCGTCTCATCCTCTATCGTCCCCTTCTCGTCCTGCCCTCAATCCTTCCCAGCTCAGGGTCTTTTCCAGTGAGTCAGCTCTTCACATCAGGTAGCCAAAGTATTGGAGCTTCAACTTCAGCATCAGTCGTTCAATGAATATTCAGGGTTGATTTCCTTCAGGATTGACTGCTTTGATCTTGCGGTCCAAGGGACTCTCAAGAATCTACTCAAGAACCATAATTCAAAAGCGTCAGTTATTCAGTGCTCAGCCTTCTTTATGGTCCAACTCTCACATCCACACATGACTACTGGAAAGACCATAGCTTTGACTATATGGACCTTTGTTGGCAAAGTGATGTCTCTGCTTTTTAATATGCTGTCTAGGAGTCTTCCAAGGAGCAAGCATCTTTCAATTTGATGACTGCAGTTACCATCTGCAGTGACTTTGGAGCCCAAGAAAATAATATCAATAAAAAATGCTGGAAGACAAAAGAAAAAAATGGGAAAGCAGCAGAAGAAAAATGACTCATAATGTGGAAGCAGACCCCAATAACAGCATCAGCTGACTCATCACCAGAAATAATTGAGGCGGAATGTAGGGGAATGACAACTTCAAAGCAATAATTATAACAATGTATCACTGGGTGCTTAACAAATATTTGTAAGACAGTAGCTCAAAAAGGGGGCAGATGGAATAGGTCACATAGGAGTATATTTCTCAGTCTCACTGGAAGTAAGTTAGTGTAAGTCTGAGGTTGACCTTGAAAAGTTAAGACATATACAGTAAACTTCAAACAACCTCCAAGAAAAATAATTTAAAAGTATATAGTGAAAATATCTTTAAAGAGGTTAAAATATTGCACTGAAAATGTACTCATGTAGTAAAGGAAAGAGTAATAAAGAAGGAAAAAAGGAACAAAGTCAGGAAACATAGAAAATGGAAAAGTTAGATGGCATATGTAAATCTACCTATATCAGAAACAGCATTGCCTGTAAATGGATTATACAAACTAATTTAAAAAGCAGAGATTTTCAGACTGGACATAAAAGCAAGATCCAGCTGTGTTGTGTCTAGAGGAGACATACTTTAGATTCAAATATATAAATAGGCTGAAAATGAAAATGTGGCCAGTACACATTCTACAAATTGAAAACATTAAAACTTGGAGTGACCACAGCCATACCAGAGAAAGTAGGCGTTAAAAAGTTAATGGAAACAAAGGGGAGCATTTCATCATGATAAAGATGTTGATCCTTCAAAAATATGCAACAGTTATCAACATGTGTACACCTAAGAACAGAACCCCTAAATACGTGAAGTAAATCTTGAGAATTGAAATGAGAGATAAATAATTCATCACCAAGGATTAGAGATGTCAGGGCTCCACTTGCAGTAACGAGTGCGCAACAAGGAATGTGGAGAAATTGGAGCCTGCATATATGCTGTGGCTGCTTTGAAAAACCGTTTGGCACTCCTTAAAGGGTTAAACACAGAATTACCAGCAGAATAAGACCCAGCAGTTCCGCTCCTAGGTATATAGCCAAGAGAAATGAAAACACGTGTTTGTATGAAAATTTGTCCACGGATTTTCATAGCGGCATTATTCATCATAACCAAAAAGCAGAAACAACCCGAATGTTCATCACCTGATGAACAGGTAAATAAAATGTGTCTCAGCCATGTAATGACGTTTTGTTCTGCAATAGAATGAGGTTTGATACAGGCCGTAAGGAGAGTGAACCTTGGAAACGACTTTGCTAAGAAAACACTGGCTATGAAGCCAGTCATAAAAGCCCACATATTGTATGATTTCATTTATATAAAATGTCTAGAATAGCCAAACCTACAGAGACAGAAAACAGACAGAACCCAGAGCAGAGGGTGGGGGAAAGGGGAGCGACGACTGTGGATATGGGGTTCTTGGGGGGGGGTGAAATGTTCTAATATTGATGGTGGTTGTGTTGCACAACTCTGTAAATATACTAAATTGAATTGTAAATAGGTGAATTATGTGCTGTGTAGATTATATCTTGGGCTTCCCTGGTGGCTCAGTGGTAAAGAATCTGCCTGCCAGTGCAGGAAACTCAGGTTCGATCTCTGGGTTGGGAAGATCCCCCTGGATAAGGAAATGGCAACCCACTCCAGTGTTCTTGCCTGGAGAATCCCATGGACAGAGGAGCCTTGTGGGTTATAGTCCATGGGGGTCACAAAGAGTCGGGCATGACTTAGTGACTAAACAACAGATTATATCTTAAAAGAGCTGATATGGAAAAAAGAATACTACCATCATATTGATACATTGGGAAGATGAAATAAAACTCATGAGAATCAACACTCAGTGAATGAGACGACTTTTAGAGGTTCCTTGGCAGAGCTTATGAGAAAGCAGCCAACTGTTTCGAATCCCAGGCACACTCGCCATGTGTGATGCCATGCTGTGGCGATGCTCTGTAGCAAACCTGTCTTCTGCTTTCCTCCTCCAGGGCAGAGGACCTTTTGTGCAAGGAGAAAAGGGTGAAAAGGTAAGCACCTCCCCATTATCTCACTCCTCCAGGGGCCTTGGAGGTGACCCAGACTAGGATGAGGGCCTTGGGTTCAGGAGAGTTGTATGTGCCGTGATGCTGCTGGTAAGAATTGGGTGGGAGGGAAGCGGTCTTCTTGCTGAATGCCTCAGTGTGAAGTGCGAGGAGGGAAAGGCTTGTCTAGGTTATGGATGCTCCACAGTGCTTAAGAGCACAGGGTGCTTCATGGGGCTCCTGGGAAGTGGGATACAGAGCTGCAGATGTGGTTTGAGGACCAACACGCTGGGCATTCAATATCAAAACCTGTCCAGGCTTGTTTGCAGTGATGGGAAGGACGGTCTGTGTGTGATCAGATGTGCTGAGGAAGTTTGAGTAGCAGGTGCCAGTAGGAGGGGGAAGACCAGAGGAGCTTGGGGAATTGCCAGGAGATTGTTGCAGAAGCACAGAAGGGAGGTGAGGAGGGTCAGAGTGGCAGGCGGCAGCAGCAGACTGGACAGATGGAGGGATGGAGGCCTGTGACGTGCTCCCCAGATACGAATGTTGCACCTTCTCTAACCTTCATCCCTTGTGGTGATGATGCATACACTCGACAGATCCTGGGAAAGACGGGGATGCTTTCTTAAGGTGCCCGCCTAGAAGAAGCAATAAAACAGTCCCTAAAAATGCCATCTTCTACTCATGCCAGTGATCAAAGCTGCATCTCCTGTTTCTCAGGAGAGCAGCTGCAAGACTTTGCAACATACATTCATGTTGATCATTTTTGCCAGAGTCTGGGAACTTGCAGACTCAGGATGCAGAGCACTGGACCCTGGGGGGCTTACATCAACCTCTTGTGTGGGGTTGATGATGTAAAGCAGGTGCCGCTCTGTCAAGTTACTATGGAAACAGAGCTCTCACATGCCCAGCCCATTTTCTCTGTAGAGTACCTTTCATTTAGTTCATTCAGGTCTAGAGATTTACTCTCAGGAGATAAATTGAGGTTGTGCACAAGTACACAGCCACACATTTCCTTCAGCGAGATCCGTAAGCTGGTCTGGAAACAACCATTGCTTTGTCGACAGCTACGACACTGTAGGATGAGGGGTCGTTGTGCAGCTCCGTGACACAGGGGCACAGCTCTGTAACGCAATAACACTTAGGGACATGTAGTCACATTTAGAAGGATAATTAATAACCCAGAAAATGAAGATATTTTGTTAATTTTTAAAACACTTTGCAAAATATCTATGCAGTGTGATCCATACATTGTGTGTATGCATGTGCGTGTGTGGAAGAGAGATTAATTCTGGAAGCAGATCCTCATTGTTAACCTCTGGTTGTCTGTGGGTGGCCAGGCTGTGAGGGTCTTTATTTTGTCCATTATATTCCTTTGTGTCTTCATTGGTTCCAGATGAACTTCTCTTTGTTTACCTGTGTTAAACACACAGGCACACGCACACACGCATGGTAACTACCGCACAAGATTACCAAGCCCTTGGGGAGACAGCGTGACCAGATGGCGTAATGTGAGCTTTGCACCCGTAGACCTGGGCGGCCGGTGCTGCTCTCAGCTCTGCCCTCAGAGTCTCTGTCTCCCGATGCCTGAAGCAGGGCTGATGGACCACCTTCCGCGGTTCCTGTGTAGGCTCAAAGCATCACACCTGGAACTTGGTTTGATAGTTGCCAGCATGCTGGTTCCTGAGGGCCCAGGGCCAGAGCACAGGGTATTAACAGGACACCCAGATGCTCCTCGGGCTCAGGACTGGGGCTGCCAGAGCCCTCTTTGAAGTCAGGGTGCTCAGCCCGGGTCCTGGTCCAGTCTGAGTTCTGAGTGACATGCGGTCCGTCTCGTGTGTTGGTGTCGCCAGGAGAAACTGACAGGCGCCCCTTCTCCTGGGAGAAGCAGCTGCATCTCTGCCCTTCCGTTCTGGTTGTGCTCAGGTCAGGCTGCCTCCTCCCGATGCCCAGAGGCGCCTCCCTGGTGCCCGGGGGTCCAGGCTGCGGCACTACCCTCAGACTTGAGGGTCAGCTGCCAGGTCAGAGCCCCCGAGGGGGCACCTCTTCACACACGTGGCACTGGCAGGAGAGACTGGCAAGCCTGGCTCTGTCCTCGGATGACATTCTCTTGCAGTTGGGCATTTTTAGTAAAGTCTGAGTTTAGATTCTGCCATATATGAGCTGTGCGATTTGGGGTGAGTCACCTCCATTTCTGGGTCCCTGCTTCCTCATCAGTGGAAGCGAGAGAGTGGGTGTGATGATGCATAAAGGCCCTTGCAGGTGGCTGTTCTGAGGCTTGGTCATCAGCCCACCCCCAGCCCGAGTCCCTGGGGCCACCTTCCGTAACTTGGAGCCTCTGCTTCTCCTCCAAGGATGCGGGAGGCCAGGGTGAGTCAAGGGGATGATTGAATCCATGGCAGGGAGAAGGCCACTGGTGACTCATGCACTTGGAAAGAGTTTCACAGACTGGCTTTTTTGCTTGAATATTCTCTCGAAAGCAGTTGCAGAATACCAAACAGATTGGATGGACAGGAGCCTGATGTGTCTGGAAATCATATTGCTCTGAATTGTGCTGGTTTTTTTTTTTTTAATTTTTGGTGACGCAATTAACCAGCGTGACAATGTGCATCAGACTCCGTGAAGGCCGTGCACCCTGGAAGCTGTATCCCATGCTGTATGTGTCAGCGTTCACACCATGCTTCAGGGAAAGCAGTCCCTGCCCTTTTCACAGATGAGAGAACTAGCTTAGGGGTCAAGTGACCTGCCCAAGGTCACTGCTAGTGAGATGGCTAGAAAACACAATCCCTGATGGTTACTAAAGTGAAGGGAAGCTGGGAGGCTGATTGAATGCCCTTTGTCCTAAAGCTGAGCGAACTGAGACTCAGAGAAGGTGAGTGACTGGCCCAGGGTCACACAGCTGAAGCACGGCCCCTTGACTTGGCCCCTTGACTCTCCCAGCCCAAGACTGGGGTGCGGTGCTCTGTTCCTGGGCTGCCTCTGCCCTTCGTTTTGGAGATTAACATCCTGTCTGGTTCCTGTTCTGCCCCATGTTCGCCCTGGGGTTCTGTGCCCTCAGTGTTTTAATATGTATGAAGTCAGGCTCAGGGGAGGGAGAAAGCAGGCTTGTCGGGGCTGCCTGTGCCTCAGGCACTGGGGACATGGAGACAGAAAAAGGCACTCTCCCTCCTTCCCAGTGTCTTGGAGACATCTGCAGCTAAATCCGTGCTTGTCTAAGGAGTGAAGGGGTGGTTGGAGTGCGGACCTCCATCATCCAGGACCAGGGGCCCATAGAGGGGTCCCGGACTGTGGTCAAAAGGACTCAGCTTCAAATCCCCCTGGGCTACTTTGAGCCTCAGTTTCCTTTTCTGTACAAGATAGGAAAGAAAATAATAGTTCTACCATGAGAGGTTGCTCAGAGGATTCATCTACTGCCCTTTGCCCTCCTAATGGGTGACACTGCTGTTCTTGTTACCCCATCATCGTTGGCAGTTCTGTCTTGGTGATGGTGGTGATGATGGTGATGTGATGGTGGTGATGGTGATGATGGTGATGTGATGGTGGTGGTGATGATGGTGATGGTGATGATGGTGATGTGATGGTGGTGATGATGGTGATGTGATGGTGGTGATGATGGTGATGTGATGATGGTGGTGATGATGGTGATGTGATGGTGATTATGGTTATGTGATGGTGGTGGTGATGGTGATGATAGTGATATGATGGTGTTGATGAAGATGATGGTCATGATGATGGCGACAGTGATGACAGTGATGATGGTGACGATGGTGATGATGATGAGAGGGTAGAGCCACTGCTCTGGGCTGGTTTGGGCTAGTTTGGGGAGAGTCAGGGAGAGCAGGGAGTGGCAATGACTTCCATGCGCCTCCACCCTTGGTCCTTCCATGTTGACAAAATAAATGAATAAGCGTGGCGAGGATGTTGATGTGAGGTTTCCTCCGGCTGGGCACAGTGGCTTTTTTCCTTGGAGATCCCACAGACAGAGAAAGATTTAGAAAGAAAAAAGCAAGGCCAAACTGCTTGGTGTCCGGTGAGCCTCCTTTTTCATTCCGAGGGTCCTCCTGCTGTGGGGGCTGGAGCCTTCAGGGGAGGAAAGTCGGGAGAGGCTGCCTTGTGCTCGCTTCCTGGACCCACAGCGCCCTCTGGTGTCCGAAAGTCAGGGTGTCGATCCAGTCTTCCTCTGCATGGCTTCATTCGATATTGGGGAGCTCTCTGCCCTTTCGGGGTGCGCTGCTTTCCCCTGGGAATCTGGCACATGGGGAAATAAGGGTGAAGGGAGCCTTTGTTTTGTGCTCACATGTGGGCCCAGGTGCTGGAAAGAACGCAGGCTTGGGGAGCTGGGCAGGCCTGGTTTGAACCAGCTATGCAGTGGCTGTGTGACTTTTAGGTGGTCTCTCTCTGAGCCTCAGTCTCATCATCTGTAAAGCGGGGCCATTGATGCCCACCCCTTAGGGCTGTGTTATAAGAGGTTGGCACTGCCCATGACAGCACCTGCCTTAGTCCCTTAGGTAGGTGCATGTAAAAATCTGTCTTTTACTATTCTTCCTTTCATTTGTCTGCCAGAAACTATTGCTCAGATCCATAAAAGAGTGACAAGTGCTTCTTCAGGAGGCAGTCTTCAAGTACTGAGTACGTGGCAGAGAGTGGTGGGTTCATGGAGCTCTAAAACCTGCCCTGGGTGGCCCTCTGGCAGAGAGCTGCCCAGATCTGGTGCTGGGAAGACCCGCCCCACACACACCCAGTTTCCCTAGAGTGGAGAGTAACCAAGGACAGGGTGGGGAGCAGGCTTCACAGCCCTGCTCAGGAGTCCGGATCACAACTTTTAGATGGTGAGGGCCCTTGGGAAACACGGGATGGAATCAGGGCGAAGTGTCTCCAAGCCATGCTTGGGTCAGCAACTCTGTACTCAGCACATGGTAGATGGGGTTAAAAAAAATCCAAATAACCCAAAAGCCCTTTCTTCAGCAATTTCACAGGAATCCTGTCTGGTGATAAATAAAACTTTG